CAGGACACTGTAGGATGCGGGTTATTTTCCCTGTGATTTTGTGGCTGACTGGGAGCTGTGGCTCTCTGCTGCTGCCCGGCATCTCCAAATAGTATTGTGTCTACTGGGTATGGCTAGCCTAGGAAAAGATCAAACTCCAGAGTAAGGTTTCTATTGAATGTGTATTGCTTTCATTAAACACACACACACACACACACACAAATTGAACCATCAATAAGTTGGGGGCAGTACTGAACAATAGAACTTTGAGTAGTAATGGGAAAGTTCTAGACCTACTGTCCAAAATGATAACCACTAGACACATATGGCTGTTGAGAACATGAAAGGTGGAGAGTAAGAGTGAGGAACTGAAGTTTTACTTTTATTCACATTTAATTCAGTTAAATAGCCACATGTAACTGGTAGCTACCATACCAGGATTGTGACTCTCAAAGTCCCTGTAGGGTCAGGCCAAGCTGAGAAATCACATTCTCTTTCAGCTTCTCCCCTGCCTTGCCTGCCCCTTCCTTCCAGGCTTCTCCGGGGAGCACCTGCTTACTAATTCACCTCCATCCCATCCTGTCCTGTCTCCACTTCTACCTCTGGGAACCAGACCCAAGTACAGCCTTTCCTGGAAGTCTTAACACTGGTCTGAAGTTTCTCTGCTGAACCTGGTAACAAGACAGAGAAACTGAGAAAAAAGTGACTCCCGAGGAGCAATTATCTCTTCCTGTAGCTAAGACTTTAGAGAAATTTGTTTTTATTTTTATCTACTTATTTTCTTTTTGACGATGGAGTTGGCATCATTGTTTAGATTCAGCAGTCACCTCTTGAACCTTTGTTACTTTACACCAAAGGTAAAAATATCTATCCAGATCATGTCCATGACTCTTAACACCTCCAAAAGCTCCTAATGCTTCCAGTGGTTCAGATTTCAAAGAATGCAAAAGGATGTAATAGGGAAAAGTCTTTCTCTCTATTCCCCATTCTCCCGTTGACCTCCAGTGGTACCAGGGCACAGGTACGCAAGACACTACACAGAGCTGTAAGCTAAGTGACCTGGGGCAAATTTCTTAACTCTTCTGAGCCCCAGATTCCAAATCTATAAGACCAGCACACTAACACAGGCTTGCGAATGCATACAGGAATTGTTGGAGAAAACTTGTGTCAAGGGCTAGATACTCAGCCAGCAACTGCTCCGTCTCCCCAAAGCAGTTCCTGGTGCTGTAACTGGCCACACAGCACTGCATGAAGCAGAGGCTCTGCACGTGTGTCTCCCCTCTTGCTGGAAGCCTACATCCTCTCCTCCTGTTCCTCTGGTAAGTTCTCACTCAGATTTCCATTCAAACATTACTTCCACTGTGAGAACCCCTCAGCCCCTCTCCAGGTAGACAGGCATTTTCTGTAGTCTTTGCTCCAGAAAGTTCCGTGCACATCACTACACTTTTGTCCAGATTGGCATGGCATGGCAACAATGGATTCACAAGGTCGACCTTTCCCACCTCTTTATCCCTTGGCTCAGTTATAACTCTTGGCACATAGTAGACAAATTGTAAATTTTGGGGAATGAGTGAAGGAATGAAAAAGGAGTCACCACTGGTCAGAAATTCTAAGGGGAAAGCTGTGTTCTAGAGTTAATTTTGTTTTCCTGTTGCCTAAGTTACCTGGGAACTCTACCTTACTTTGACCCTTGTTCCTGAAAATTATTTCAAAAGGCTTGAGTCAAATTTCCCTTCTTAGTAACTGAAATACAGTGACTGTGGTCTAATCTTTCTTTTTAATCATGAGACTGTCTCAGAATCTGAATATTAGTAACCCATGAATGAAAAGTGCAGATGTAAATTGCAAAAAATGATAGAGACTGGGCTGAATTTAATTGGGCCCCAAGGCATAGCTTAAATCTTTGTGTGAACATTTTAGAATATTTAGATTCTGACAATTGAGGTCTTATTAATATATTATATTATGCTTTACTAGCTATCTACCAAAGATTTTGAAGCTGGGAAGTCTCAAAAATTAAATCATTTTATATTTTTTAAGTGAACTAGTCCTGGCTCCCTGAAAACCTCCTCTATTCACCATTGGGGCCAATAATTTCCACCTTCAAGTCACATTTGCTGGTGTCTATTATGAATCACAACTGGAATTAGAAAGGATTTGAAAGAGTTACAATTCTACTCACAGTTGCTATTTTGATCTTGTGTTGAACAAGTTCTCCTACTAGGTTAGGTCTCATTCTCTTCCCAGCCCCTGAGCATGGACTATAACTTGTTTGGCATCTCTACCTTTCTAGGAGAGGAGAACCTATCTTGTTTCTGTTTACCTGTTGCTCAGCACAGAGGCGCCCAAATCTAAGTGCATTGTGCTGTTCTGTTGGACCAAACTCGGTGACCAAATTCTTTCCAGGGTTTGTCCCACACTTTTCAATAATTCATCGAGCAGACACTTGAGGGCCAATGTTTTCAGGCACAATATCAGGAAGGCCACAAATATTATGTTACCATGCTCTACTTCTAGGTAAAGTGACAGTGGCATAGAGGGAATGAAAACAGGCCATTGTTATAAAGTGCATTCAGAAAGAACCAGCGATGAAAGCCAGGATGGCAGCTGTCAGCTACGTGAAGTAAAAATCAGGTTTGACTCACTTGTTTTCAGGATGTAGTCCTTTGAAGAAGGAGATTAGAATATGGCACACTAAGACCATATTTCATGTCTTGGCCACTGTGAATAAGGCTGCAGTAAACTTCAGAGTATAGATATCTTTTTGAAATCCTAATTTTAATTTCTTTGGATAAATACCCAGAAGTGGGATTGCCAGGTGATCACATTTTTAACATTCTGAGGAAACTTCATGCTATTGGCTATACCATTTTACATTCCACCAATAGTGTGCAGGAGCTCCCTTCTTTCCACACTTTTGCCAACACTGGTTACCTTTCAATTTTTTGATAAGAGTCATCCGAACAGTTGGGAGGTGATATATCATTGTGCTTTTGATTTGCATTCCCCTAATGATTAGTAAGGTTGAATATTTTGCATGTTGGTCAATTTGTATGTCTTTGGGGGAAATGTCTATTCAGGTCCTTTGCTGATTTTGTAATCTAGTTTTGTTATATTTATTGTTATTGAGAGGTAGGGCACCCTTACATATGTTGGATATTAATCTTTTTCAGGTATGTGGTGTGCAAATCTTTTCTTCCATTCTGCTTTTGTTTTGTTGATTGTAAATGGCTATTATAAATAGCAAATTCCTTTGCTATTCAGGAGATTTTTAGCTTTTTATAATTTCATTGGTCTATTTCTGCTTATATTGTCTATGCTTTTTGTGTCACATTCAAGAAAGTATTGTCCAGGCCAATGTCAAGAAGCTTTTCTTCTCAGAGTTTCATGGTTTCCAGTCTTATGCTTATGCTTAAGCCCTTAATCTATACTGAGTTGATTTTTATGTGTGGTTTAAGGTATGGGTCCAATTTCATTCTGCTGCATGTAGATGTCCAGTTTTTCTGGCATCGTTTATTGAAAAGAATATCCTTGCCTCACTGTGTCTTCTTGTCATCCTTGTCAAAGATCAATTGACCATAAATGTGTGAATACATATCTAGTTCTCTATTTTGTTCTGTTGTTCTATATATTTTTATGCCAGTACTATGCATTTTTTTAAGAGAGAGAGAGAGAGAGAGAGAGAGAGAGAGAGAGAATTTTTTTAATATTTATTTTTTAGTTTTCGGTGGACACAACATCTTTATTTTATTTGTATGTGGTGCTGAGGATTGAACCCAGCGCCCCGAGCATGCCAGGTGAGCGCGTTACCACTTGAGCCACATCCCCAGCCCAAGTACCATGCATTTTTGATTGTTGTAGCTTTGCAATGTAATTTGAAATCAGGAAGGGCGATTATTCCAAATGTCCATCAATAAGGAAAATATGGTATTTATATACAATTGAAAATTATTTGACCTTAAAAAGAAGGATATCCTGACCTTTGTGACAATATAAATGAACTTGAAGATAATATCGTAAATGAAATAAGTCAGACACAGAAGGAAAAATAATAAGTGATCCCATTTATAAAAGTAATCAGAAATAGTCAAACCCTTTTGAAGAAGAGGAGAGTAGAATGGTGGTTGCCAGGGCGAAGTGGGAAATAGGAGTGTCAGTCAAAGGGCACAAAGCTTCAGTCATGCCAGGTAAGCATGTTCTAAAGATCTACCATATAGCACAGCATGTTTAATAACAATATGGTATTATATATTTAAAATTTTGCTAAGAGGGTGGATTGTATATGTTCCTATCACATAAAAATAGGAAAAGTAGGAGGTGAAGATGTGTTTTTGATATTAATTGGATATACAATATGGTATTGATTGTGCTGAGGGCTTCCTGGGTATATAATTATCTCTAAACTCATATAATTGTATAGATTAAATTATACAGCTTTTTGCACATAAATTATGCCTCAGTAAGGTTGTTTTTAATGCTATGTTTCACATGAGTAATAATGTACACTTAGGGTCTTAAGAAAAAGAGAGCCTGACAGCCACACTCCCACAGAAAGCCTCACAGAACCAACAAAGAACTTGTGATGGAATCTCCTGTGCTGACCAAACCTTGAAAAGCACAGTGGGACATTCCATGTGACATTCTTTTTGCCACTAAGTGAAGACCCTTGCGTGATGACTCCACTTGGACTTCAAGATTGCAAACACATGTGTCTAGTTCATTTCCAAGGCAATGGGATAGAAACCCAGGAAAGCAGCCAAACTGGGACCATCTCACCAGATGTCACTGTTCCTTGATGATGGATGGGATGGATATTTTGTTCTTTGTCTCTGTATTGCCTGATGTTTCACAATAAATGATAATTAGTCTGTCTAGTTAAAAATGTGTGGCTCTGATTCTAAGCAGCTCCCAGCTCCAGCTGCAACAGTGAACAATAATATGACATGCAGAAATCATTGCAATTGATTAAAATGTTATCAAGCTGCAACCCCCGGCATACCCAAACATAAGATCATGGTTACCTGGTGGCAAGAAGAGGGTATGAGTGAACTGGGCTGAACCATGCTTCCTTCCTCCGAGGCATGCTGTCATAGATTAAAAGGTCTTTCTCCGTCAGAACAACCAGGGCTGGTTTCCACGGTTTCTCACTCTCCCCTGGCACCTGAAACAGAAAGAAGAGAACTGTCAAACAACAGCTTGAGAGCAGGGTGATTGGAAAGAAAAGCTGGCATCCCTCCAGTCAGAGGACCCAACAATAGGAGTGTCTTTCAGTTCAGGGTATACAATCAAGATGGAAAAAAAAAACACCAAAAAACAAAAAACCCAGTCATGAGCCCAGTGGTTCCTGATCCTTGAAAATTTCATGGTCTCGTGGGCCATGGCACGCACACTCAGTACAGCCAAGAAGCAGCCCAGCTGCTACACATCTGTCACTGTCTCTCACCTGCCAGTCAGCACTGAATCTTTTTTTTCATTGTAGGAAGCAAATGCTTAAGGGAATCAGTGCTTCCAGCTTATTCTCTGGTACAGTGCATCTGTTTTGTTAATGAAAGTTTTTGAACAAATATTCAGGCCTTGAAAAATATACTATGGAGGCAAACATCTACCCAGACAGGTGTCAGACATCATATCATAGCCTCCTCTCCTGGTCTTTTGCTGTTATTGTTTCTACGATGCAGGCACCATCCTGAAACTTCTCTTGTTCTGTTGAACATTCATTGCAGAAAATTATTTTAATTCAGGGGCCCAGATGGCCTAGCAGGGATTGAAAAGGATTCAAGCATCAGTTGGGTGATTGGGACTATGGACATCCCATCCAGTCCTCAGAATCTGTGTAGCTCAGATCTTTTCTCATGAGCCATCCCCTCTTAGTCCCCTGTCAATCCTCTCAGACTCCCCAAATATTCTTCCATGTCTGAAAATGTTTTCCTTCCAGTTTGAACTCTGAACCCCTAGATGAATCTTTAAGATTGGTCTGGAAAAACTCAGTGCTGTAATCTTGCTATTCAAAATATGGTCCATGCTCCCAAACATCAGCATTTCCTGGCCATGCTAGGAATGCAGAGTCTCAGGCCCATACCAACCCATTGAATCAGAACCTCCACATTCACAGGATACTCAGGTAATTCCTGGGCTCATTAAAGATTAGGTAGCACTGCTCCAGATGAGGTCAAGATTGTCTTTGACACAGGTAACTAATTCAGTGAACACAATCATCTCATGAAAGTCATGATGCAAAATCTATTTGAATTAAGCTAGACAACAAGTTAAATACGTAATATAGCTGATTTCTTCTTGTTCTGTTCTTATCATTACCATGTCTTAAGTGCCACAGTGAAGTCTGGGTTGAGGTGGAAAGATGTGTACATGTTTTATGCCAGCAATCGTGGCCAGTATATTAGGAATGAGCGATCTAAACAGGGAAGAGCAGGGTAGGGGGAAGGCTGACTTCTCTACATTTTACATGTAGGCTGTCTGAGTCTGATGCCAGTCTGTTTTGTGGCCTGTATGACTCTGGACAAGTTATCCTTCTGTGTGCTTCCACTTCTTCACAGAGAAACACAACAGAGGTTACGAGAGCTGACTCTGGAGTTAGAAAACCTGAACATAATTCCTGTTTCACAGTTTCCTAGCTGCAGGGTCCTGGAAAAGCCAGCCAATTCTTTTGAATCTGTAAAATGGGAAATGTCAGTGCCCATAGCAGAAGGCTATTGTGAAGGTTAAATGAGTTAAAATTTGTCAAAGTCTTAGGGCAGTGCCAACCAGGCACCTCATGGTACCTGCCAGGAATGCTTGCTTACCTCATAACCCTACAGTGAAGATTAAAAGAGAGAGTGGGTGCAATGTGCTTAGAGACTGTCAGATGGTAAGCCCTCAGTAAGACTTAGGGTGGGGATATTATGCAGACTCCAATTTTTAAAAATGGTCAAAAAAGGTGTCCTTTGGAAATGGTATCCATATGAGAAGGAAATGACTTTCTCAAATATATCTTGGGGTGCTGACCATTTTACTATCTTCTCTCTTCCTTTCCAAACTTCTCCCAGGAAGAATTCATTACACAATGATCATCTTTATTTTTTAATTCCCATGTTCCTAGAATTCCCAATAAAGCTCCCTTTCTAATGGAGAACATGACATTGCCTCCTTTGCTGCCTATAAAGCTACTTACACTAGAATGTGAATGAATGCCTGGCTTATTCCCTGCTTTATGCATTTTATGCATACTAAAAAAATTATCTCTAGCTTATTGCTTATGTAAGAAGACATTTCCCCCAACAGAACAAGAACATCTTCAAGAGATCAAAATGGATTGTTTGAGAAGGCAATGTAGCAGACCTTACAAGGTGAATAACTATGGTCTAAAGGCATGGAGTGTTTGAGGGGGGTTTGAAACAAATTTTCCAGTTTCTACATTAAACTTAGTAAATTACTTTTCCAGCTCATTAAATAGGACTGGAGAAGTTACAAATGATCCTCCCAAAGTGACTATCTTACTTACCTAGTCAGATCTGATCCATTAACTTTGAACAGGATCACACATTTAAATGTGAGCAGGACAAAGCATAATTCTTCAAAAAATAATACTAAGTTTGCAAAATAAATGTCAACAGTAAAATGAAAAGTAAAATGCAGACCTCTCTGATGGTGGTATCATAACCTTACCCACATAATTCCAAAGCCCTAAAAAGTTTTGTAGTTTATTAAAGAGCCCTGTGTGGGTATGTGAAAGTCTGCCGTGAGAATACTCAGAGTGGCCATTTCCCACCATTTCTGTGTGCAGAGCTGTCACTTTAATGCTATGTCAATGATTGAGGGTAGCAGGCTACCCAGGAGAACAATTGACTTTGCAAGGGGAAAAAAATTCATAGTGAAGAACAGGGTTTTGAAAACTTTTTTTCATACCTTGGGCTACATAACCTTGTATTTAGGTCTTTGAAGCACAATTTTCATCATGCTGAAGCATTTGTGTCCTTGTTTTAGTGATAACTTCCATTCCAAATCCAGTTTTTCTGGCACCTAAGATATTTCAGTGTTGACACAACAGTCCTAGAGGTGTGTATGAATTTATTGAAACAAGAGAACTGAAACAGATGCAAAGACTTCCCTTCCCATCCCAGCCTCCCACTTTGGGTGCTTTAGATGTCTCAAGACTAGATCATATTTCTAATGAAGAAGGCAAAGGAAGAAAAATAGGGTAAGTCATTCAGTTCTGGTATTATTCTGAAGCACATCTTTGGTGAGCTGAATCCTGAATGTGTTAGTCAGCTTTTCATTGCTGTGACCAAAATACTTGATAACAACTTAGAGGAAGAAAGACTGATTTGGTTCGCAATTTCCGAGGTTTCAGCCTGTGGTCAGCTAGCACCACTGCTTTGGGAATGATGTGAGGCAGAACATCGAGGTGGAAGGGCCTGGTCAAGGAAAGATGTTCAGCTTATTATATCTAGGAAGCAGAGAGAAAAGGCCAAGGACAAGATATAGTTCCCAATGGTGTGCCCCCAGTGACCTACTTCCTCCAATCATGACCCACTTGCCTAAAACTTCTACCTCTCCTAGTAGTTCACTCAAATTATAAATGCATCAAATGGATTAATGCACAGATGAAGTCACCATCCTCGTGATCCAATCATTTCCGTCCCACCTCTGGACATTGCTGGGTCAAGTCTTCAACACATGATCTTTCAGAGGACATTCCAGATTCAAACCATAAAATTGTGCCCACATTCACTTCTGCATATTATGAGAGTAAAGATTTACGCAGTGGCACAAAGAATGTAAGACAAGGCAGCAAGAAGTTACTGGTAAGAATTGTGGAAAGTGGATACTTTGAGCCCTCCACTGAGACAGCTCTCATGAGTTACTTTCCTCAGTAGTTTTCAGTCTCTTTAAATTGAATCAATCCTCTCTTCAGATCAAATCACAAGTCATAGGACATTATGTGAAAGCACAGAGCATTGGCATGGAATTGCATCCTGGTTGGGGCCATGGCACCTCTGGTGACCTTATGTCTTTATATTACCATCACCCATTTGAGTGGGGTTACTTGAAATCCTTGGAATTTAGTTGGAAAAACACTTGTCTTGTCTAAAATACTTAGGATATGTGTCTTACTTCCAAAGAGATGGTTTTACCTAGACTTGTCAATGCCTTTTTTGTATCAAAGAAAAGAACAATATTACCAACTCCAAGGGAGATAAATTAGTACACACAGAGGGCTCATAGAGTGCTATAACACAGTAAGTAAGCAGGACTTAAAACGTATGATCTACATATAGTGTTTCCTTAAGTATAGCCAGTTAATGTCAAGTGAAGATCTGAGTGAATTTAAGCAAGGATCACTTGCCTTTGCTGAGCTTAGATTTCCCCATCTGCCAAATGAAGGGGTGGGATTAAACTGTTCCTAATGGCCTCTCTGACTTCAAAATTCAATTATTTTTAAGTTTGACATTTTCTGCTGTAAGGTTCGGACTGCTATAGTTAGTTAACACTCTTGCTTTGCAAGTCTTTGTTCAGTTTGGATGCTGCAAGAAACAAGTGTGTCCTTTTTCTTCCCTCATGGAAACTCACTTTTCCTAACATACTTAATTTCTATCTTTTACTGGAGCAGATGTGGCAGAACGAGCCCATGGCTGTCAGAGCCAAAATGCACTGGCTTCGAAATCTGGCTTTGCCACTTCTTAGCTGAGGGATATGAACTGATTTCTGAACTTCTATAAGCACTCATTCCCTGATGCTGAGAATGGCCTCCCATTCTTGTTTGATGAGGATAACTTGAGATAAGGCATATAAGGTGCATTTCCCACATGGTAGAGTCTGGAAATGTTGTCAGTTCACCTCCGGCACTCTATCTTCCATGCTGCTCAGGAAGGAAGCCCTACTTGTAGGGAAAGTGACCAACAGCAAGTGAAAAAGTTCAGGGAAAGTCATTCAGAACTTTTGTGTTGGAGATCATGGTTATCTTGACAACTTTTTAATTTGTCTGCTTCAACTCAGGTTGCCAGGTATTTAGAACAAAGGACAAGATAGCAGTGTAATAATAATTAGCATTTATCAACTTCCAAATGCTTTACAAACACTAGATAATTAATCCCTGTACCAACTCTCAGGGAAGCAGATAAAGATCACTTAAGCAAAAGAAGAAGAAGGATAACAGCTTTCAAA